GATTCATTAATCCTATAGAAAAAAATAGTAAACGAAATAACGAAATTTATACATGTTTACTTGTTAATTTGAAATTTGTTTAAAACAATTGTTTATAAAGTTCGAGATAAAGTTGTTAAATAATTGTGGTCAATAATTTTCACCTCAAAGATTCATTAAGAGAACAGTAAAAAAGTCGGTGGAAGAAGACACTATTTTTCAGCTTCAATTATGTCAATTCTTAAATTGTTTATAAAATTGTTTATAACATTGTTAAATAAAAATGTTAAACAATTTTTATTCTCAACATTTATTGCAACTATCAAAATAAGAGCGATATGTAAACAAACAAACTTTTTAAATATTTGTGACTTTAAAAAAAAATAATTTGTTTATAAAAATTGTTTAAAATATTGTTAAATTAGTCATAGTGATAAAATTTGATCCTAGATGTTAGTTGTATACTAATTTTAGTCACTTGAGATGAGAAAATGTGTCTAGAATTTATTTTTCAGACTACTCAAAATTTTAGATATTTTTTCGGACATTTTTGAGCCGCCATTTTGAATTTCAAAAAAATTAAAAGTTCAAGCAATGCCTAAATGAAAATATCGCGTCCAAAATGTATGCATTTTGTACGCGATATTTTGTCAGTACAAATTTTTCCTGAAGCGATTGCCAATCGAAATGATAGTTTTAATGAAACAAAAACCAAAAAATTTTCTGTTTTATTTGTTTAAACAATCATAACTTTTAATCCTTAAGTCAAAAGTTAAATTTTCTTGCAGATTATGAAAGAGGACGAAATAGTTATTATCGTATCAAGGGCGCAAAATAGGTGATTGGGGCGATGGCGAGATGAAGGGACCGAGGGGACATTTTCGCGCCCGAGGCGAAGCCGAGGGTGCGAAAGTGTCCCTGAGGTCCCGAAATCTCGCCAAAGTCGTAATCTCCTTTGCGCCCATGTTGCGAACATAATTTTTTGTCCTAACTGCATGAAAAGTATGGCATCGAGGGCACGAGCGAAGCGGGCGTAAAAGTACTTTTGCGCCCGCTCGGGCTAGATGAAGCGGGCGCAAAAGTACTTTTGCGCCCGCTTGTGTGACGTCAGCGGGCGTAAAAGAACTTTTGCGACCGCTTCCCTGGCCCCGGGCGAGAATAAGTTACTTTGCGCCCACTTTAAGTGCCCGAAATGACATACTTTTCGTGCAGGTAGGACAAAAAAATACATAAGAAACACGATGTGCAAACTTTTTTTAGCCTAATACCATCTTTGAAAATGGTAATTGCAAATGTGAAAAGAAAAAAACGGACTTTGGGGTCTAAATGGGTTAATAATATTTTTTTCTTTAGTTTTCTTGGCCTTAATAATAAATTTGTAAGATCTATAACAAAGCAATAAAATAATTTTACATTTTTCCCCTATTATTTAAAATATTTTTCAGTCCATTTCTAACATCAATTTTCTATATTCTATTTCTCTTTTGTTTTGTAGGAAAAGAGGTCCCTAGGGGTACATCGCCCTTTTCTTATATATATGTATTCGCATTCACACGAATATTGTCGTGTCAAGAGACAACTTGAAGGTGGTTCCAAACGATTCTGCAAGTTTTTGGCACGTATCTAAACCGCTTGTAACTTCTACTTTCATTCGGAAATTTTCATTGCTCGGTTTTTGGCATTCACCAGGCAAAATATCGTTGAACGAGGCAAAAGGGACAAATCCGCATCCCTTCTAGGCTAGAAAATGCAACTTCCATTTTCTGCTTTTCCTTCCTGAATCTCTTCACTATATATATATAGAGAGAGATACTTTTTCCTTTTTTGTCTCTTCGCCTCTTTTATTTTTTGCTCTAGATTACAAACTTTAAGAAAGCTTTCATTGCAAAGTTTTATCTTGTGCAAGGATCGATTCCACTCTCTTTCTCTAAGGGCTAGGTGGACATTGAATTTTCAGTTATGAAACTTTGGAAAGTGGAAACAGCGGTATCCTAATGAAATCGGGATTAAAACGGTTTGTTATTGTGAGCAACTATCAAAATGAGTTTCTACTTTTTTATCTAAAATTAGAATTGCAAATATTGATGTTTATCTTGTGTTAATTGAAAACGATTTTTTTTAAGGGAAATATTTTTAATTTTTTTAAAATTATTTTTATGAATAATAATAATAATATTAATAATATTAATGATGATTAATTTTTCAATAATGAATTATTTTAGTGTCTCATTTGTTTTATGAATTGATGGGTTGTAATTTTTTTTAAGTGTCACTAAACATGAATCTATTAATATTAACGATGATTGTATTGTTGAATATGGGATTGGAGAAATTTATAATACGATCGCTTCGGTCTGCCTTGGCTCATAACTAATAATTTTATGGATCATACGAGCGTTATATAGGAATTATACAGCCTTCACATGAGACAGTTTATGTGTATCGTTGCTCTTCATCCAATGACAGGACAACAGTTTTGTAGACTACTGGAAGGTATATTGTATATTATTATTTATTGTAGGATCCTGCCTCGCTAATAATCATTATATTTTCCAAAAGACAGGTGTTAAGGGCATGATCCCTTAGTAACAAAACAATTTAGTGGACGTTGACAACAATTTATTTGACAATTTAATGAAACATTTATTCTAATTATACCCGCGAAGGAAGACAAATTGTCTCGTGGTCTGTGAAATAAAATTTTTATCTTTTTTTCTTCTTAGAACATTAAGACTGATGTTGGCAAAGAAAACTGATTAATGAATTAATATTAGCGAATAATTAACTACTTTTAATATTAACATTATTAAATAATTAATTACTTACACTGAAAAAAAAGTTCTGCTTGGAATTAAAGACATCAAATCTTATTTCTTTTTAAATTAAAAAGTCGATTAAATTTTTCTTTTTGCTAAAAACGCGGTTAGTTGATTGAAAATAAAATTTTTAAGATAAAACTTTTTTATCTTATTCTCTTGATTTTCTGAATTTTTGAATTAAAAAATAAAAAAATATTAAACCTACTAATTCGTTATCCTAAAGGTAACTGTATATTACAGTTTGAGAATAAGGTAAACATAAGTGAAGAATTAAAATGTTGTAAATTTCTAAAAAAGATTTAAGTTTTTAAAAAAATGAAAATTAAGCAACGAAAAATATACACATTTTGAAAATTCAATTACAGTTTTATAAACAGAGTTATAATTTTCTTTTAGAAAAAAAAGAAATATATATGCAAACCGCACATAATAGATAGGAAGCCTGAATACAAACTGGACAGGCTGTGAAATTATTCCTTCAATAAATCACATTTTCCAAAACAATACTCCACACCTTTATTGAAAATCAATTAATTGCAAAAGGATTTGTCGAGAACCATTTTATTATATGGTAAAGTAAATACATTATAAATTCTCTATTCAGTGGAGGAAAAAATAATTATCTTTCTATTTTAGTATTTTTATTCATTAAAATAAATTTTTTTCAACGTTAATACGAAATTTAGAGAGAAAATATTTTTTTTATCCTATGACGGACAAAGATTTTTAATGTTTGTGTATTTTTTTTCTAAAGGCAACATATTTGCTTTTTGAATCAATTTTATCATCGATTGGAATATAAAAGTGAAAAAAAATATTGAAATTATTTCATGTAATACTGCAACTATTGCAAATATTTGCTTTGTTAATTATTTTTTTTTATTTCAGAGTTTTCAAAACATGACGCTTGAATTTTTTCACAATATTTGTATAGTAATTGTCAAAATATAAAAATACTTACATACCCAAACCTACAATATGAAGTTTATCTAGTTTATTTATTTATTTTCTGTAATAAAACATTTTTACTTTAAATAAATATAAGCTTAACTTTTAGAAAAACATAATTTTATCTATATTTGAAATTGTAACTTTCTAGATGGTAAAAATTGCAATATTCTCTGAAATTAAATAATGTCACATGATGATTTGAGCTTTTTTATTTTTCGGCAAAAATTTTATCAAGTTTTTAACAAAAAATATATCGCTACTTGTGTTCAATTCATTTTATTGCAGCTGACAGCAAGGATATAAATAACAAAAAATGAAGTAAAAAATTTTTTTTTTGTTTAATTGTTACTTTATGCATTAAATGCAGTTTATCCCCCAATTTATGTAAAAATCATGACTATAAAAGCCACAGATTTATGTAGAAAAAAAACTGCTCCCTGACAATTTCGACGAGAGTTGTATTTGTAAAAATAAATAATGGACAAATTATCTTGTCTAAAGAATTAGTTTTCTTAGCTTATTCCTATTATTCCTAACGATAACGCTTTTGAAAATAATTTAGGCAAACTATTAAAATTTCAGTGTTGCTCTGGAGACGTAACAATATTTAATAATATTTAATATAATATTTATAAAAATTTTTCCATTCCATAAACTCAGCGGACTGAATTTTCTAATTGATCCTAAAATTACTCGATACATTAAAGCGCAAAGGGCGGTGTATCGATACGAAAGCGCTAACCATGAAATCGGAAGAAGGAGGAGATTGGCCAAGTTTTTAGCGGGTAATCGTGCTACACGCTTCGATAACGTTATACCAGATCTAAAACCGCGTCCAATTAGTCAGGCAGCACGCAAAGGCCCAATTATGGTCTCTTTGCTGGTTTGAATTTTAGGGATGAATGAAAAGAGGCAAACCAACAGGTGCAGAGACTGTTTGCTTTTGTCTTTTAGAACAATAGCTTCTATTTGAAGCCTTATTAAAAATAAAATTTATTATAAAGTGGAACTCATTTTTTTTCTATTAAATTATTAGGAATTCTCAATTTAAAAAATATTTACAAGAAAGGATAAAGTGAAAAATTAAAATGCAGAGTATGTTTGTCACTTTAGTGTTTTAAAAATATGGCGCAATGATGTCAAATAAGATTGAATAAAAATTGTGATAAGTTAATAATTCTAAATGAAACTTCTGAATGTTGGAAACAAATATTTATATCGTCAATTAATATCAACTTTTTTCTGTTACAGAACAATTGCTGATCATTCCACTTTAAACCATAATAGGTGAGTAAGTTTTCAAATTTGCAATAATTTTACAAGAAGTTGTGCGCCTCCACAATTCGTGCACGCTGGAGCGTCAGTCGTAGGGCTGGTGGTGAGATTTCCCGTTTCCGGATTACTTACAAAAGTTACAGAATCGACACCAAAGTTGTTACAATATTTTAGAGAGCAACGGGAAAAGAGTTGTGGTGCAAATAAAAAAAGTAGATCTGAAATGTTGCGTGAAAGAGAATATATAAGTTTTTAATGGTATATATGTGGAAAAATTGGAAAAGCTTGGTTGATAGTAATACTGTTATTCATGGTAGTGAAAAGTATGGTCGAGAATATGAGGAGGCGGTTAATAGTTATACATGGGGATAAGTTAAAATAAGGATTTAAATAACTAAAAGTGGTGGGCGTTGTAACGCCCCAATAATTTAAATCCTTATTAATATTGATGAAAGGAACTGGAAACAGAAGCTCTGGCACTGATGAATTTTTGATAGTTTTAAAGAGATTCAAATAGGCTAAGGTATTTCCCATGTAAATAGATGGTTAGAATTATTTATCTAATTAAGTTTTGTAATTGGATCCTCGAACCCTGTTATATTCACAGGGAGAGTAAATAAAGTTATTATTACTATTAGTATTATTATCGTAATTAATATTATTATCATTACTATTTATTTTATTATTACTCTCATTATATAGTTTTCCATATGCATATTAACTTGTTTTAAAAGCGTCTTTTTGTTATTTTAAAAACATGTTTGTAACTTTTGACATAAAGAAGCGGAACACGCGATTGCACACGCCTTTTAGCTATGAAATACAATTCTAAATTATACTGCGAGGTGCACCGCAAACTACCTCGAAACTGTCAACGATATAGGGTGGAATTTCCGCGAGCCTTTAAAAACTATCATTTCACCGCCAACCTATTTTTCGAAACGAAATCTCGTTTACTTTGCACGATTAAGGGCAAAAACTTTTTGTGTGACCAACTGGCTCTCTCGCTATCCATATTTATTTTTCTTTCCCTCCAAGCAATAAGAATACCACCAGCGAAAGGAGGTCAGGAATTAAAAACTGTGAAAATACCTTCATTTGCATAATATCTTTTATATAAACAGTGGGAATCTCTCTATGATTCGCATATAATAGTCTATCACACGCAAACTTAAATTCACATATTTAAAATAAAATTATTGCAATTTTTTTTTCTTATTTTGCATATTTTTAATCTTTTTATTTTTCATTTTGCTCCTTTTCATTTTATAAACTCAACTAACATTGTTCATTTAATTTTGCTGATTCATTTTTTTTCCTCCTTTTTTTTGAATAAATGTATGATTTGAATTTTACATTTGGCGCAAAATCAAGTTAACAAAAAAAAAGTCATATGAAAAATGATGATCGAAAATGTTGTGATATCCGCGTTATATTTACTTTGTTTCACAACCAGTCTATTATAATTTACTTTAACCGCAGGCGCGTACGCAGATTGTCAATATTAAATTTTCATTCTGTTCGAAATTCACCAGCTGAAAGTAACGCGCTAAAGTTATTTTGAGACATTAATGAATATTTAATAATGATAAATTTTAGTTGGCTATGACAATTTTTAAATATTCAATTATTTACACTTGTCTCTTTTTTTTGCAATTTTTAACGGAAAATTGTGGTATTTTCGGGGAAAAATATTTAATGAATTGTTAAGTGAATATAGTGTTTTAGTTACACATGAAGAAAATATAAATTATTTTAAGATATTTATGATCATTTACATACATCATTTCGATTCTTGTTCAAAATAGAATTTATTCAATAATTTTGAGTAGAAATTACATCCGAACTAGTGGAAAAAATATTTTATTCACTATTGGTAGAAGTTGATTATTATTGGTCCACTAGTGTGAAAATCATTTTATATACTAATGCGCATAAACTTTTATAAAAAAAATACAATAATTTTTTTGTCTTAATTAAAAATTTGATTTTTGTCGCTTAGTGGGATATAATTGTTTATCTCACTCTGTAGAAAAATTTTTCTGAAAATTTAGTAAAGTATTGTCGTGAAAGCAAAGCATGTAATTTAAATTTCACTTGTAGATCGTAGGACCGGACCTAAAATTTTCCCTTTCAAGCGAAGTATTGCCCGAAGGTACATTACAGCTTAGAGCCGGTCTGTTTGTCTTAAACTGTGAACTTTTATGTTTACATAGCAGTCCACAGTTTCTGGTCAAACTCTCCAAGGCAATAGTCCTCGAAACTTGAATTACAGTAGCTTGTTGCTTTATTTTCCCTTTTCTTCAACTAAATAAGAGATTTAATTATATTAATTCAAATTAATCAAATTACCATCATAAAAGTACCTACAAATTTCCAATAGCAAACTATTTTGAAGAAAATTTGTACTTTTGCAGGTGTTTAAACGTATTTGTTTACAGTGAAAAAATTTTTTTTAAATATTCTCTCATATATTCAAATCATTATTTTTTAAACTTCAATTCCATTTTCTCTCGTATGTTTAAAAAGGGGAAAAAATACAAAAATTGTTAAAAAGTCAAAGTAATCCTTTTGACTTTGTCTCATTAGTAGTCCAATTTTTTTTATTCATTTCACTTCCCCTTTGTCTCTGATTGGCTTTTCAACTTCCTTTTCAATCGTTATTCATGGACAAATCAGTGATTTTTTTTTACATTTTTCTAAACATAGTAAAAAGAAAAAAAAATTCAGACGTTTGAAAAAAGAAATATTTTAATAAATATGTTGTCGTATTTGATATTATATATGCAAAATCAAAAATGTAGCGAATGCAAAAACTCGAGTTTAAAAAAGCATCATATGCACAAGCGCTAAAAGAGAATGAGGACACGTTTTTGTTTGCTTTCTGTAAAAAAAATATCTAGTTTCACAATTTACGTTCTATGTCGTATCCATATGTCTTTTAAATGCAGAATATACTTCTCGTGAACTAGAACAAAATAATAATTTATGCATAATGGATAACTCGCTTTTCATGTATCTGTGAAACGAAAACGAGATATATACTTTCATCTAGAGGAGATATTATCATACCGAGTGTCAAAATGCAACGTTAACAAAAATTATTTGTTTTTTAAATTACAGGGTATCGATTCTGTAACTTCACTTCACCTTCACTTTACTCATTTTACATTCACTTTACTCAATTTACTTTCACTTCACTCATTTTACTTTCAATTTACTTTCACATTACTTTCAATTCACTTTCACTTAAATCCAACTTCACTTTCACTTCACCTTCACTTTACTCATTTTACATTCACTTTACTCAATTTACTTTCACTTCACTCATTTTACTTTCAATTTACTTTCACTTTACTTTCAATTCACTTTCACTTAAATCCAACTTCACTTTCACTTCACCTTCACTTTACTCATTTTACATTCACTTTACTCAATTTACTTTCACTTCACTCATTTTACTTTCAATTTACTTTCACTTTACTTTCAATTCACTTTCACTTAAATCCAACTTCACTTTCACTTCACCTTCACTTTACTTATTTTACTTTCACTTCACTCATTTTACTTTCAATTTACTTTCACTTTACTCTCAATTCACTCTCACTTTATTTTTAAGTTACTGTGACTTTCACTTCACTTTCACTGTCAGTTTCTTTTCATTGAATTTAAATTATCTTCAAAATTTTAAGAAAATTACTTACTTTTGAAATTTTAAGAAAATTTGGAATGCAATTAAAGTTGAATTCAACAAAAATTAAGTGACAGTAAAAGTGAAGAGAATCTAAAGTGAAAGTGAAGGGAATGTAAAGTAAAAGTGAAGAGAAATTGAAGTGTAAGTATAGTGAAAGTGAAGTGAAGGTAAAATGAAAGTGATGTGAAAGTGAAGTGAAAATAATAATCGGGGATTATGTAATTTCACTCTACATTCATTACACTTTCACTCAAATTTTATTTCCACTCCACTTTCACTTCACTTTTACTCCACTTTTACTTTTACTTAAATTTTATTTTTACTACAATTTCTCAAAATACTTGAGGATTACGTAATTTCACTCTACTTTCATTACACTTTCACTTCACTTTTACTCCGCTTTTACTTTTATTCAAATTTTATTTTCGCTCTACTTCCACTTCACTTTCATTTTCCCTTAAATTTTATTTTTACTTAACTTACACTGTTACTTATATTATATTTTCACTCCACTTTCACTTTTTCTCAAATTTTATTTTCACTTATATTGTATTTTTTGTCCACTTTTACTCCACTTTCACTCAAAATTTATTTTCACTTCACTTAATTATTATTTTCACTCGACTTCACTTCACAAATTTTTACTACACTTTCACTTCACTTTTACTTTTACTCAAATTTAAACCCCTTTCATTAAGGGTGAAAATGAAGTGATAGTGGAGTAAAAAGTAAAATTTGAGGGATAGTGATAGTGGAGTGAAAATAAAATATCAGTGAAAGTGAAAGTGGAGTGAAAATAAAATTTGATGGAAAATGAAAGTACCTAGAGTGGAAGTTGAGTATAAATAAAATTTAAGTATTAGTGAAAGTGGAGTGAAAATAGAATTTGATTATAAGTGAAAGTGGAGTGTAAATGAAATTTGAGTAAAAGTGAAAGTGAAGTGAAGGTGGAGGGAAAATAAAATTTAAGTGAAAGTGAAAGAGGAGTGAAATTAACATTTGAGTAAATGTAAAATTGGAGTGAAAATAAAATTTGAGTAAAAGTGAAAGTGGAGTGAAAATAAAATTTGAATAAAAGTGAAAGTTAAGTGAAAATAAAATTTGAGTAAAAGAGTAATTGCATTAAAATTACATAAGGTCACTTAATAAGTAGGGATATTATAAATTTTGAATTTCAAACATTGGCAGATATTTTTTGTCAGGATTTTTTCTTATATTTCTGGGTAAATATAGTATAATGTCGATAAGCTGCTTTACCACTGTGAACAGTTTTTCAAAGCATTTCACTCATTCGTGTCTTATGTACACGCGAGACTTT